GCCCTTGACGTCAAAATCCATTTTGTCGTTGTCAGCAGATTTTTCCACTGCGCTTAATTTTTTTATGATGTCCTTATTCCTGATGAAAATTCTATTAAAAAGTTGCACAAGATGAATTTGAGATAAAGCTGAAAAATTAGATACATAAACTGAATTATTTTTGCTCTTATTATTGGTCCACGAAGAGTTAGAACGTTGGTGTTACATATTTTCAATATCTGATTTTGTGACTGCTCCGGGTACCCCTACTATCGGCGCATTTATATACCATTGTAGAGAAAATATTTCATATTTGTAAAATATTTCTTGTTTTTATCAAATCTTAGTGTATGTCAACTGTAAATGCAAATTTTGACTTAAAGACGTTCATTAGAAAACAAAATATACACAATGTCTCAATAAATTTCTAACAGCCCTCGAATGTTAACAACGCTGAAATAATTTCGATTCGATGTAATCAATCAATCATTGAATAAAAGCTAAATAACTAAGTTTCTTCTTTATCCATTTCATCAATGTATTTTTATATACATTAAAATTTTTGAATGTTTTTCCTACATTATTTAAAGAAAGCGTATTTAATCCTTTATAGATTTGTCACATGAAAACAAAGTCATTGTTAAGTCATGAACGAACAACGTCAAAAGTTTCGACATGTTCCACACATAAATTGGTGTTTGAAAAAAATAAATATGTCATAGATTACAAACGTAGTACGCAAGTTTTTTGTTATGAGTTGGCTACAAATGTAAATTGAAGTACTTAGGTACTTTATTAGCTGACCCGTTTTTTTTAATATTCCTAAGAAGCAGAATTATTTATAAAATTCTACTCTATATAAGAAGAGTATACATTCAATTCGTCCAGATATATCGACGATGTTTTACATGTATCACTTCCATGTAACAATGATTTTTCGACTCCATATATTTCTGTTAAATGTGCTCCTGATACAAAAAAACAAAAAAAAAAAAAAAAAAAAAAAAAAAAAAACAGGGAGTCTTCCACATACCCGGTATGTATCATAACTGGATGTTTCACTTATTTTAGACGATAAGGGCCAACAAACAATTACATTGTTTCACAATCGCGATGATTTCTGGATTTTCCATCATCAACTTAACTAATTTATATAGTAATGTTCCTCATTAACCTGCTAATGTTTTTTTGTTCTACCAAATTATATGTATTCATTCTTCAAATCTTTTTTTTTTGAAAACATAGCATGCTACTCACTGATAATTTGATGTTTTCAGGATTTCAACAACCAAGTTTTTAAGTCGGCATCTCTTTAATTTTATTTTCGTTAGAATAAACTTGTTACCAAATTAAAAATATTAATGAGGTTCTATTTCAGTCGTCTTTATTCATTCCAGTTCGACTTTTTTAAAATACCGAATTTGAGCTCAGAACGTTTTGTATTCCTGATCTATACATACGGATAATGGCGGATGTGAACGGTCAATAGGGGTTGCTTTCCCCCTCGATGGCACTTGATCCCACGTGTTGAATATACAGAAACCTGTTTTTAGTCATACATGTATTAACGTAGAAACTACGTCGTATGACATCATAACTAGTGACGTCATAATCAATTTCACTTTTTCAGGTACTTTACAGCTTCAATAGAAATGTAAGAAAATATACTGCAATTTGAAATTTACATAATTCAAATAATCTTGAATTAGAGAAACCTGTAGGTACCTTTCAATTAATAGATCTTAACCTTAATTAAGTTGACAAATCCAAGACTCTCTTGTGTAATGAAATTTTAATGACTTTGTATACAACTTACTGTAATAATGTAAAGGTATGTAACTATTTTGAAGGAATGCAAAAAAAAAAAAAACCTAAAGAAAAATCTTCAGTTGCCAACTAAATCGTTGTAATATCTTGATGAAATGCGTCTAAGTCAAAGATGTACGTGTTGTAAATCGTGACTGTGTACATTTTGTGATATGTCATGAAATGATGTGCATTCCTTTTCATGATAATTTTCACTTATTCATATTCTTGGAGTTTGATTACAATTTTTTGATTAAATATGATCTTTTAAAATTAAAAGTACAATTTTTGATAAACATTTTTAACACTTTACAACTTACAAAATTGTTATGCAAAATAAACTGAATCCTCACGTCATAGAAATATTACGTTACCATTTCCCCGCAAGCACTTTCTAGCAGGGTACAAGTTTCTCTAAAGTTTAGCGTAAAAAATGTCATGACGTTATATTTTAATTAGAAAATAATTTTTCTTATTTTATGAGACTAAGCAAGTATGAAATAATTGGAATTTGGCAATAAACTGAAGATTTAATGAACTTTTTAAAATGCGTGAAAATGCGTGATTGCGGGGAAACGGTAAATGCGTGAGTTTGCGTCAGAAATAGGAAATGGTATATGCGTTAAAATGCGTGACTGCGGGGAAGGGGGTTAATCTAAAAGTAATCACAAACATTCATTAAATAATAAAATCCTGTGTAAGTGCAAAAAGGTCAAGAATATTTACATAGGTAAATAACCTATCTCTCATTAGTTAGAGGCGAAAGGTATATATTTTAATCACTTTTTGTAATCATTTGGGTATGTTTTTTATCATATTAAAATTAAGATTGAAAACATTGTGACAAAGACTTTTGAAAAAATATTTACAAATGTAGGGTGAAAAATTGACTGAAATAAATAGAGTTCATTTGCCTATAGTTTTTAAAATGTGGACTTATGTTTTATGTCAATTGAATAAAAAGGACTTTATTCTCGGGAAATATTGTTAAATACTGTTCAATTGATAAAGAATAAAAACAATGGTGTTTAAAGAAGTAATTTTGTTATCTTTTTTGTCTTCTTATCATGACAAGTACCCCTAAAAATGACTGCAATTGTGAAGTCGCAATGTGTAATTATCATTCCATGTTTAACTGGCTGCACTACATTTAATAACAAGGAAACATTCCTGTGCTTTTTACTGATTGATAAGCAAGTGCTAATTTATCATTATGAAAAGTTTGAAAATATTGTGGCAAAGACTTCTCCGACATAGGTTCTACCTTAACACATGTTTTTGTGTTATTTACAGATTATTTTGAGATCGATCGCCGTTCAGTATTTGTACCCTTACTCTGACCAGGAGGTCATAATTAAAAACAAGAGGCCCATGGGCCACATCGCTCACCTGAGTAACTTGGGTGATGCAGTTCTTTTACCAGATCCCCCCTCTTGCAATACCTATCATGCCCACTACCTCCTTCCCTTTTATAATTTTAAAACTTTAGAATCTACACTACCCCAGGATACTTCCACATAAGTTTCAGCTTTCCTGGCCCAGTGGTTCTTGAGAAGAAGATTTTTAAAAATTTGTTCTATATATTTCTATGTAAAACTTGGATTCCCTATTCTGGCCCCGCCCTACCCCTGGGGATCATGATGTTAACAATTTAATATCTACACTACCCAAGGATGCTTCCTCATAAGTTTCAGCTTTCCTGGCCCAGTGGTTCTTGAGAAGAAGATTTTTAAAGATTTGTTCTATATATATATATCTATGTAAAATTGGATTCCCTATTGTGGCCCCGCCCTAACCCCAGGGGTCATGATTTTAACAATTTAATATTTACACTATCCAAGGATGCTTCCACATAAGTTTCAGCTTACCTGGCCCAGTGGTTCTTGAGAAGAAGATTTTTTAGTGACCTCACCCTATTTCTGTCTTTTCTTGATTATCTCCCCTTGTTAGGGGACTTGGCCCTTCATTTTAACAATTTAAACTCCCCTTCACCCAAGGATGCTTTGTACCAAGTTTGGTTAAAATTGACCCATTGGTTCTTGAGAAGAAGTCGAAAATGTGAAAAGTTTACAGACGGACAGACGGACGGACGGACGACGGACGGACGAACAAAATGTGATCAGAAAAGCTCACTTGAGCCTTCGGCTCAGGTGAGCTAAAAAACCCTTTAATCTAACAACCTGAGGGTGCTTTCACTGAAGATGAATATTCGGTTCCTGAAAAAAATAATTCAATTTTAAAAATATTCCATGAACTGATCACTTATTTATAAGGTCTTCTACGTGGAAGAAGGAGTTGCTTTGCATTTGAACGAATTGAAATTTCCTTTACCAAAGGATTCTTTTTTGGTTTGTTTGGTGATATTCGGCTATTGGTTTTATAGAAGTCAAAAATTTGAAAAGTCACGGATCGACAGACGGACGGCGGGCTTAATTTGAACAGAATTACTCCCTTGAGCAATTGACTCCTTGAGCTAAAAGATTCTTTTTTGTTTTTTAAACAACCCAAAACCAGATTTAGCATATTTAAAAGAAATATACAATTTCATCGATTATATAATAATTGGTATTTTTAAAAAAATATTTATACCTCTATACGTCCAGTTTTCAAATAATTTTTCTTTGGAAAAATTCTGCTCGGACGATACTGGTTCATATGGATTTTTTGACAAGTCAATGACAAGTAAATACACTGCTCTCCTTGAAAGGTACACCTGGTGACATGCATAATATGCACTTTGTCCAGCAAAGTCTGTTATACTTAAGGTTTTTTCCTCTTTATAGGGATCACCTCCACTCAGTGCTTTAAGAAGAAACATTAATTACATAATTTCCTAAGACTATATTTATACGCATAATTGTTTGTCCTCTCCTGACTCACAGTTAAAGAGAAAATTTTGATGTAGATAGATAGGGAAATTTTTAGTAACACAATGAGTCGAATTCATGTGTTTCTTTAAAGATATCTGTATCATACATAGAAAGACTGACGAAAATTATAAGTATATAGCGAAGATATGACAATAAAACTGTGGGTCACAGTGTCTCTTTAAGGAAAACATTTTAACATACTTTTTGACAATATCTGAAGAAAATAGATAAAAAAAAATAATATGGATGTTAAAAGAAGCTTTGATTTTGATCACTTTTACTCAGTTTGTCAGGAGAGAACAAGTTAAAAAAAATGGTATCCTATAATTCAGAAACACTTTGGCTGATTTATTAAATATTACCAATCATTTTGTTCGTTTCCTCAGAAATTTTGAATAAACTGTCATGGATGTCTAGTCCAACTGTTGATTCAGTCTTAGGTAATTCAACTAAATCTCTATTTAGAAGCCTTTCCAGAAGAGTTGTTTTTCCCGCGCCTGCACATCCAACGATCATTCCTCTAGATCTGTATATCTTTTCTGCGTCTTTTCCTATCTTTTCTACAAACCTTTTCCTTGCATCATAATCCCACTTCAATACTTCCTCCGGAATACGTACTTAAAATAGAATAGGTTTCTGATCAGGTTGAGTACAATTTCCTAATGGAGATTGAATAAATCATATTATTATTATTATTATAAAGACACGAGAAAACTATAATTATACATGTATATCCCAAACAGGCTATGTCAATTTTTACTTAATATTTAAGTACATTAATTTTAAATTACCCTTCCTTGCAAGTAATCTAAATAACAAAATCCCACAAAAACCAACAAAGAAACAAACCCAGAAATGAAATGCACACTGCTTAACCCTGGAAAGTCGCGAAAAAAGAGATAAATAAAATAAATAATAAGTTAACTTATTATTAAACATGCTCATGATTTTCAACTTAATACAAAACCCTTCCCAACGATAAAACAAAGTCCACGCATTTTGATATCAATGACAGTTGCTTTTTCAACACAACTGGAACTCGTAAATTACTTTCTCATTGGTCATTTGCAAAATTATTCTGTTATAAACATTCTGATTATACACAGAAGTACTCTGAAGTTGACATCAAAACAATGATTGAGTTTCTGATTGACAATGTCAATGCGTTTTTTGGAAACCCTGTCTTTCAACAATATTTTAAAATGCCAATAGGTATAAATTGCGCCACATTATTAGCAGATATGATTTTGTACATTGTAACCATATGAAGCAGAATTGGACAATAATCTTATAAATCGAAAGAAGGAACACTTTTTGTGGACTTCAACTCGACATTCTGATATATCGACGAGGTATTGTCAATTACAAGGGTTATTTCCGTTCCTCTGTCAAATGGTATATACCAGTGAGCTTGAAATAAAAGATACCACGGAGTCTGAGACGACTATTTCATTATTTGATATTTTACTTGAAACGGGCCTCAAGTAATCCTATTCGTCTGTTTTGTAATAACTGTAATTACATGAATACCCTGTCTCAACGTCCCAAATTGGGATTTGAACCTGCGACCTAAGGAACAGCTCCTTAATTACTTATCGCCTTTAAAGCAGATTCTCTATCCACTGCGTCAAGCGGGCGACTCCTGCTCATTGAAAAATGTCTCCGCCATGTAGAATATTGCATAATCATATGATTAAAGGTCATACAAAACAATATCCTAAGTATTTGGGGTTGTATACGGAAATGAGTTCCACTGAGCAACATTAATAAGCCTGAATTACATTTTGGATATTTACGCAAGATGGAGGCAACAGAGTCGATCCAAGTTACTTTACTGCGAATATGAACTTCAACTAGCGCGGCTTATCTCCCTTTGCTTATGACGTCAGTAAGACCCAGTCGCTACATTCAATTTATATATAGCCGTTCATGTCTTATGCAGCGTAATTTTAAAGAAATATCATTGTCTTGACTAAAACTATGCATAAATATATAAATTTTAAACAAGATAGTGTTTGCCTTTGAACATCCTGTTGCATGTTTACAAGATTTTAGCATGTTTTATCCGTGTAATTCATTGTCTTCCTTCGACACTTCAATCTAAAGAGAGAAAGAAAAACGATGTCCAAAGAGAGCATAATTTCTGTACTCGAGTAATATATATGGCACGCCAAATTCACAAAAATGAGCAAAACATAGTTCACAGTCGATAAACTAGGTTTATCGGTTGTAAACTATAGTTTGCGGACTGTAAACTATAGTTATGAACATTCATCTATATTTCACATCTGTAAACCATAGTTAACGTGATAATCTATGCTTCACAACCGTAAACTATACTTAACGCCGAAAACAATCATTTGCGATTGCAAAAAATAGATTATCTGATAAGTACAGTTTCACGATTGTAATCTATGGTTTACAACTCTTAACTATAGTTAACAATCGTAAATTAAAGTTTACAGACGTGAATCTATGTTTATCAACAACAACTATTGTTAACGTTTTATTATAGACATATAAACTTGACTTGAAGTTAACGACCGTTAAATATAGTTTTACAGATTAAAACTAGGGTTAACGAATTGTAAACTGTAGTTAACGGTTTGAAAACTATAGTTCACGGTTTGTAAAACATGTTTACCAATTGTGAAACTATGTTTAGCACATCAAATTCACAAAAATGAGGTAATCATAGTTCACACTCGATAAACTAGGTTTATCGGTTGTAAACTATAGTTTACGCACTTTAAACTAAAGATAACATCGTTAATCTGTTTTTTACATTTGTAAAACTATAGTTACATGTAACGCGATAATCTATGTTTCACTACCGTAAACTATAATTAACACCGAAAACAATCATTTGCGATCGCAAAACGTAGATTATCTGATAAGTACAGTTTCACGATTGTAATCTACGGTTTACAATTCTTGACTATAGTTAACGATTGTAAATTATAGTTTACAATCGTGAATCTATGATTATGAACAAAAGCTATTGTTAACGTTTTATTACAGACATATAAACTTAGATAAGCATTCGTAAACTGTAGTTAACAACCGTTAAATATAGTTTCACAGATGAAAACTATACTTAACGAATCGTTAAGTATAGTTCACGGTTTGTAAACTTTATTTTACAGTCGATAAACATAGTTTATCAATTGTGAAACTAGGTTTAGCTCATTTTTGTGAATTTGGCCTGCCATAAATATATAAAAATAGACGTTGTTAAATAGCATTAAATTTTACAGTTGAAAAAATTTCCAACACAAAAATATGATTTGTTTCCCAATAAAAAAATTTTAAGCCATGATCATATTATGAGCACTGTCGATTAAATACTCGATCGGTAGCACGCGGATGGTAAGTAAAGCTGAATTGGATTGACCGTGGTGTATGAATATTAAAGTGAAACTAAACCTGCAAATAAATTATTGAAAATGAAATGATTCTATCGTTTTCTTGTTTCCCCTCTTTGAATTATTCCTTATTCTGTCTTTCGCTTTCCCTATCCCACTGACTCTTTCTCATCCCGTATTATTTTTACCAAAGTTGGTACATTTTCATATAAAACATTTTATCTAAATAATTTTAAAAAGTCAGACATTAAACGATGTTCTATCTGTGTGATCCTACGTTTCACAAGCTTACTTAGTATATAGGCTGCTTTTGAAAAAGAAAGTTACACTGTAAAATATTAATTTTCAAACGTGTTTGGGTTTAATTCAGCAAACAATGGGTATTCGGGGCATGAATTTCTTTCTGATCATCTTTTGCACGAAGTGTATGAGTATTTTCAAACTGCAGTTGCTCAGCCAAAGTGTTATAGAAATATCAGAACCGTAACATTGCAGTGCATGTGTATACATTTGGATACTCGTAATACACAAGTTTTAAGACTTTTTTAAAACCACGTTTCTTGTGACAGCAAAATTACGATGACGTCGTCAAAACCCCCCTTTTTCTATGTATCGTTTTCATTAGTTTTCGTGTTTCAAATTGCAGAAGGGTGCAATTTTCACAGTTGGTTATATCGGGTTCATCCTACTATTAAAAGCTCTCGTTTTCAGCTGCTGTGCCTTATTAACGATAATCTCAAATAGAGACAAGAAAACATTGTTGTATCCATCAATTGTCGCCCGGGAAATATATAAAGTAAACAATGGAATCTTGATCATCAAACCGCATTGATATGTGTGGAAAGGCTTGCTTCTAATTGATGGAGACGATAGTTGCGAATTTTCGGTTAAAAAGCAAACAAAAACGATACCATTTTAAACTTGATCAGGTCCTAAAGTAAATATTTGCTGCATAAAATATTAATTGAAGTTAGACAAAAATGTATTATTTTTTAATCATAAAATATAGAATACGAACTGTGCAGAGTACGTTTATATGCGAGAAGTAAAATTCAATGTTTTAAAATAAGGGGACCTGTCGTTTTTTCGATAGTAAATGATAAGCAACTTTATATATTAACTATAAAAAAATAAATATTTTTACAGATTCACTTTATTGAAGTAAATATAACATGTTTCTCCTTATTTATAAAGGGAAAAAACATTATAATTAGCAATCTTTTCAATGTTTAGAAAACCATTAATTCTGAATAATTTCTCCCACCCAAATAACCATACACCAACAATAAACCCATATGTATAGAGCAGCCCGGTCCTCTGGGCTGCAATTACTGTTCTTAAGAATCCGATTGCTCATCTAAAAACATTATCACATTTATATCCACAAAAAGACCTATATTAAAGGTACTTGGACACAGATTTGAAGTTAATATTTTTAGCTCACCTTGATCACATTTAGTCCGTGGTCCGTCCGTCCGTCCGTCTGTCTGTCTGTCTGTCCGTCTGTCCGTCTGTAAACTTTCCATATGTTTGACTTCTTCTTAAGAACCACTAAGCCAATTTTGACCAAACTTGGTACAAAGCATCCTTGGGTGAAGGGGAATTAAAATTGTTAAAATGAAGGGCCAGGTCCCCTCACAAGGGTAGATAATCAAGAAAAGACAAAAATAGGGTGAGTTCATTAAAAATCTTCTCAAAAACCACTGGGCCAGAAAAGCTGAAACTTATGTGGAAGCATCCAGGGGTAGTGTAGATTCTAAATTGTTAAAATCATGACCCCCAGGGATAGGACGGGGCCACAATTAGGAATCAATTTTTTTTTACATAGAAATACGTAGGAAAAATCTTTAGAAATCTTATTCTCAAGAACCACTGGGTCAGAAAAGCTGAAAGTTATGTGGAAGCATCGTGGGGTAGTGTAGATTCTAAAATTTTAAATCATGACCCCCGGGGAAAGGGCGGGGTCACAATGGCAAATCCAAGTTTTACATAGAAATATATAGGAACATTTTTGAAAATCTTCTTCTCAAGATCCACTGGGCCAGAAAAGCTGAAAGTTATGTGGAAGCATCCTGGGGTAGTGTAAATTCTAAATTGTCAAAATCATAAACTCCAGGGAAAGGGCGGAGCCACAATGGAGAATCAAATTTCTCCATAGAAATACAATGGAAAAATCTTTAAAGATTTTCTTCTAAGGAACCACTGGGCCAGAAAAGCTGAAAGTTCTGTGGGGGCATTCTGGGGTAGTGTAG